TCTGATCTACATAGTGAGTTCCAGGCCAGCCAGGGCTGCAGAGTGGGACCCTTTCTCAATAGATAATATTTTAAAAGCCAATCCTTTATAACAAATTGAGTAGCTGTTTTTTGTTTCTTAAAAGACAAGCTCTCTCATTATGTTGCCCAAGCTTTCCTCAAACTTGTGAATTCAGGGATTCTCCTGCCTTAGCCTTCCAAGTAGCTGGGACAATAAGCATGCACCAGCATACTTGACAAATTTATTCCCCACCCCCACAAGACAGGATTTCTCTGTGTAGCTTTGCGCCTTTCCTGGAACTCACTCTGTAGACAAGACTGGCCTCGAACTCACATAGATCCACCTGGCTCCTCCCCCTCCCCGCCCCACCCCAGTGCTGGGATTAAAGGTGGGCACCACCACCACCTGGCTACCACCCAGCTTTTAAGTATCTTTCTTAACACATTTAAAAACAACTTGCAATTTCTTAGAGTGAAAAAAATCAACCTTAATGTCAAAAAGTTTTCCTGGATTAACAATAAAAACAGACTTTCTATGACTATACAATGCAAACAAAGGTCAGGTACCAAAGCAGAACCCATCCGCTATCGCAATCCCAAAAACCCTTTTTCATGACAGAGAGCATACATCCCTATGACTCTAAGAAAGTGCTCACTGCTCTGATCTAACAGCTGGAAACTAAACATACAACCTGTTCACAACATTCAAGTAACTTTAAAAAGGTCTGGCATCACACCAAACAAGTGAACAACATGATCCAGTCACAGAAGAATGCATGACTGAGAAGATCTGACTGATACATGTCCCAAACTTACAGTTTCCACACACTTCCTCCCCCATTGGTTTGCCCTTTGAACCTGCCTTCAAAACAACTGCACTGCATACCCCATTGCCACCTGTCATCCCACAGACAGGCCTGGGGCACACTCGCACCTGCTGAGGGAGTCATTTCTGTACCAGTGTTCCTCTGCGATGACTTGCTCTCCTCATAGAACTGAAAAACCACACGGGATTCCCTGTCCACTCCACAGAAGACACTACTTGGAAAGAGGAAAACACATTCTAAGGACTCTTCTCCAAACACATCACCCCAGCCTCATCTCTACAGCACTCCAGCTCATCACTTACATGCCCATCACTGACTCCTACCAGGTCCAATCAGCTACCTAGGCGTGAGTACCTTAACTCCAGCTCAAGTAGAGATGAGGACACAGGCTGAAAAGGGAGACACATCCCCAGGAGCCACCTGTTCCTCTTCCCCAAAACTGTACTGAAAGCAGCCTGAAAGGCCAAGACCCGCCTTCAGCCCTATATCTCTACAGACAGCTGCTAGCTAAGATAATATCCTCCTCATAAAATCCATGTCAGAAAGATTTTTTTAAAAGTGCTCAATCAGCTACCTAGGAGTACCTTAAGAGGTTAAGAGCACTTCCTGCTTTTCCTTGGAACCCAAATTTGGTTCCTGGCACATCTATCAGGTGGCTTTTAACCACCTGTAACTCAAGCTCCAGGGGATCTGAGACTCTCCCCTGGCCTTTGAGGGCACCCACGAACACATGGGATTTACTCACACACACATATAAATATGTTTTGAAAAGAAACATAAAACAAGCTCTGATTCCATCTCTTATGGGGACCTTGCCTTGCCTGCATCAGTGAAGATTGAAATGCATCCTGTTCCATGACAGGCAGAGCACCTAAGCACTAACTCAAGAAATGTGGCACAGCCTGAAGTTAAGCTCTGCAGTTAAGAACACTTCTTTCTTTTGCAGAGGACAGGGGTCAGGTTCCCAGCACTCACATGGTGGCTAACAACCATCTACATCTACAGTTCCAGAGGATCTGATGCCCTCTTTTGGCCTCCAAGGGCACTGCACACACATGATGTACAGACAAGCATGCACCTATACACATAAAATAAAAATAATTTTGTTTTTTTAGACAGGGTTTCTCTGCATAACCCTGGCGTGTGTCACCATGACCCAGCTAAAAATAAATCTTAAAAAAAGCCAGGTGGTGGTACACATCTTTAATCCCAGCATTTTCAAGGTAGAAGCAGGTGGATCTCTAAGCGTTCCAGGTCAGCCAACACCACACAGAGAAACCCTGTGGGGGTGAAGGAAGGAAATGTATCAAGGCCTGGTTGTGGCACACACTTTTAATCCCAGCACAAGGGAAACAAGCAAGTAGATCTCTGAGTTCAAGGCCATCCTGGTCTATATAGCAAGCTCCAGGCCAGCTAGGGGCTATATATCAAAATCCTTACCTTTAAAAAAAATATTTTTCAATGATTTGATAATCTGAAGGCACTTTTTTGCATGCTTTCTGAATTTCCCTGACAGATGCAGCACCTTTGGAAAATCTAAAGCACCTTAAATTCTCAAGTCCCCATGTCTCCCTCTGACCAAACCACATCTCTTTTTTCCAAAGGGGGATGGGGTTGGTGGGGCTCCAAGCCTCACCCCAGCAGAGCACCAGTCCTCAATGAGGGCAAACCACACACAGCTTCTTCCAAGCAGGTGTTTTCCGACAGGACACAACAGAAATGAGCCCCAGGACCTGTTTCAAAGAATGTGATCATCTATGCAAAGAAATATAATGTCCCTCTTCCTCCAATATGGCACAGTTAAAATACTTAGGAGGCTCAAGCTCCAGGAAGACATCCTGGGCAGTTGCATTGGGGACGTCCTTACTCCCTAAGATGCCCACAGAGCCTCCCCCTGGGAGATCCTCACATGACAGAAAAGTGACACTAGATTCTCTGATCAAACCCAATGTTATAAATCAATTACTTGACCTCACCTGTAAAATGGGAACAATATCTACCTCATAACACAATATGAATGAAGTATGTATCTAAATATCTGCCTTGAAGTAAGAGCTCAATAAATGGTACTTAAAACCTCTGGCCCACCTTAACAGCAGACTAAACTAGACCTATTTCCACAGCCTCAGGTCATACTGCTGGCTTTACAAGTGTAAAGGGGAAAGGCTTTGAGGAAAGTTAATTGAGACAGTGTCAGGATGCAAGGTTAAAGTTCAAATGCAAATACACTTTAACCATGCAAATCTTCCAGTCCTCAGATGAAAATCCATCACCGGAGCCATCTCTGTCATTCCTAACAGGAAACAAGGCATATTCCCACATGTGTGTGTGTGGGGGAGGGGGGGGACTCTCAATGACTCTCAGAGTTCTTCTCATTTCTTTACAGAGAAGTCTACTATTTATTCTGTAATTCTCTTCTGCTCACTGAAAAAGCTGCCTGATGACAAGAAAATTGCAGATATCAAATGCCCATCATGGAAGTGTCAAGACTATGTGAGAAAACACTCTTCCTCTTCACATCAAATACACACCTTATACACTGCAACAGCACCACGGTGTAAAAGTTCACTTCATAAGCATCCACAGTACTGTCACTCTGACTTCCACGGTTCATGTTTTTGCGTGCTAGCCCAAGCACCCCGGGGTAAAGACACAAGTGTTGCAACACCCTTTTGCCTTTCACCATTTTTCTCAACTGGGTAGGTCCTCCTCCTTTTAGAACTTGGATTAATTATCACCCATCTCTACAATGGAAGGTTATAACTTGGAAGTCCACAGATGAGCTGCAGAAGGCTCAAGAGCCTCCAGTAGCAACAAAATTCAGAGCAGATGTGCATGCTTCTCAACGGGGGCCCATACTTTCAGATTCTCAAAGGGGCTCATGACCCTCCAAAAACATCTAAAAACCACTACCACAGCCGCATCCCAGACCAAACTGGATCAAGTGAGTCTCTCGAGTCTGCCTGAGTAAAGGGACCTACAACCCTCTTCCCACCCCACCCCACCCACAAAGGTAGGGGTAAAAGATCGAACCCAAGAGCTCTGAACCTATGAGACCAGCGGATCACCACTGAACTACAGCCCTAGCCCAAGGGGGTCTGCCTTCTGAACCACATTTTGCTAGGCATCTGACATCATTCCATCACCTACTTTATATCGCATACAAGGTGGACACGCTGATCTACCTTGATCCTAAGAACTCTAAAACTTGACAGAAAATACAAGACAACTACGGATACTTTTAACAACACAGAGAAAACAAAAACATTTCACCCAACAAGTGGTTGGTGTGGGTTTGGGTTTTGTTTTGTTTTTCCCCTAAAACCCCTCCTCCCTGTCAAACTTAGGCTGCCCTCGCTGGGGCCTCTCAGCCCGGCCTCCCAGAGCTTCCCACCTCACTGAACGCAGAACCACAGGCAAGAGGAGCACCGAAATGCCCCGCTGACCAAGAATCTGGAAAGGAGCTGCCAGCATCAGGTGCTACAAGCAGAAACTCGCATCTCCTGCTTCCCAAGATCCTCCTTTAGGTAAAGGCCAGAGGTTTCTCCTCCGCAGGCAAGACCTCAAGGTAAGCCCAGAGGCTCGGCTCCAGGCTGCGCGGAGCCGAAAACAAACTTTCCAGGCACTTCCACCCCGCCCGGCCGGGTGAC